CTTTGTTTCATGAAGGTCTGGTACCTGCTATTGAATTTTATAAAGTAATAAAAACCCTATTTCTAGGGAGATAAAATGTGAAAAGTTTATTATATTAGTGTTATATTTAGCCAAGTCAAAATATCCAACAAATTGCTAGTGGCAGTGTGTTTGACATCTGGAACTGTTACAGTCACACATGATACACACCACACTGATGATACATGTACAAGCATAGTGTTTTATGTCTGTGAGCCCATCACATATTTTTTTGTGATATATGAACCACTACATTCTGAATGATGATCAGTTTTCCACACTTTGCATGATAACAAAGTCTGCCATGTGTTGTATGATACACTCCCTTTAACACCTTGTATGATATATATAATCCTCTAAAATGTGTTTTATACATGATCTAACACATAAGCTCGATGAAATATTTATGCAATGCCTTTTTGTAGAATTGGTTCACCATTTATGGTATTTATGCACCTGATTTGTGAATAATCAGTCTGTTTTGATTATTGTATATCATTTTTTTTTTCTGAAATCCCTTTTCACAATTTGGTGTAGACTTTGTTTCCTTTCTGTCAGTATACAGAGAACACATTTTTTTCCAGTTGAGTTCCCTTGTTATTGTGAAAACGATTGTACTACAGAATTAATTTCATCTTGCAGTATTTCATGGTCATATTTATCATGAATTGCAAAGAGGATATACAAGTGTTAAATCTATACACTGACTGACAGCTGATATACATGCACAGAAATAGTTGTATGCATGATTTTGTGTGTGTGTCTGTACTTGAGTGTGAGTTTTCCTTGGCAGTTTTACCTATCATTTTCAATACTGACTACACAATCATAGGGAAGCAAACACATGTACAAAATATTTTTGTCAGTATACTCAGAGCAGTAAAAAGCATGCTTATACAAACAGGTGCACATACATGTAAATTCACCTGTTCTCTCACTCTGATATACATGTACACACACACACACACACACACACACACACACACACACACACACACACACACACACACACACACACACACACACACACACACACACACACACACACACACACACACACACACACACACACACACACTAACACTAACACTAACACTAAACACTAACACTAAACTAACACACTAACACTAACACTAACACACTAACACACTAACACACTAACACACTAACACACTAACCACACACACACACACACACACACACACACTCACTCACTCACTCACCACTCACTCACTCACTCACTCACTCACACTCACTCACTCACTCACTCACTCACTCACTCACTCACTCACTCACTCACTCACTCACTCACTCACTCACTCACTCACTCACTCACTCACTCACTCACTCACTCAATCACTCACTCAATCCAATCATCACAATCAATCAATCAATCACACACACATGCACGTGCACACACCCACACACACATATACAAATATATTCAGCTACCAGTTTAGATTGTACATGTTAGACTTGCACAAAGAGTAATAATTATACACATTGCATTTGCATTTACAGCAACTCTTGCACTTGTACTGTGATATTGCACTTTTTAAATAACATTTTTCAATAAATTTTAAACTGTTTATAACTATTTGAACCTTTTTAAAGTGATTTCTGCACTGTATTTTATATATTTTATTTTTATCTGAAATAAAAATTACCCAGAATTCACAAGATGGGGACATTTTTGCTTTTTCTCAGACTTTGTCAAAGAAAGAACATTGGCATATATTTTTAAAAGTAAGATATGTATGTAGGGTTTTGGTGTACAAATATGTATGTTGGAGTTCCTTGGTAGATGTTACAGATACCACAGATGCATTAATACAGACAGGCACATATATCTTTTCATACATACAGTATATGCAGGCTAACACAGGTACACTTACAGTTACACCTACAGTTACATTTACATTTGATTCATTAAAGTGTCTTTGTTCAGTGATGTCAAGTTCAGATAAAATGATTGTTGGTGAATAGAAGTCAAATCATTCTGCCAGAGGGATGTAAGATAGTACAGTCTACAAGGAAGATCAAGATATCCTTATTTAGCATGTTATTTGGTGATATACTAATAGTAGTTTAGCCAATCTTTAGACAGAGAGACATCTTTAAGTGTTGAGAGAGAGAAAAAGAATGAGATTGGATCTGTATGATCACATGTCAAGTTGAGATCTTTGGTGACATTTTTGGTATCTTTGTCTGTCTGGTGAACTTAGCAAGACTTTTTACTTGTCTCTGCATCAAGCTATGACCTTTCAGTTCTCTGTGGTTGCTGTTTGTTATATACTGTATATTCTTACTCTGTAGAAGTGTGAGTACATATTTGCCAGGTTAGAACACTCTCAGAATTACCATTAGTTATAGTTCAATGGCCTTTACACTTTTTATAATGGATTGCGGCTGACTTTAGCATCTTTCTTAAGGTTAGTTCTTCAGTGTTATTTGTAGGTGAATTAACTGTGTACTAATGAAAAAAATCCTCCTTATAATGACTTAGCTTTTAGATAAAAGAACAGTGCATTGGAAAAGTCTGATGTATACTCATCAATAATACAACATGAAATGTAGTGTTAGACTTTTGTTATTGCTCAGCAGAAAAATATTAGATATATTAGTCAAAATATGATTAGTTTTTATCAAGAGCATAGAGGAAGTTAGCTTTAGGTTAGATGGAAGACATGCACAGAGATATTCATATACTTACATATGCACTTACACATACTGACATGTGTATACACTTATCCCCCCATCTCTCTCACACACACACACACACACACACACACACACACACACACACACACACACACACACACACACACCACACACACACACACACACACACACACACACACACACACACACACGTGCACACACACACGTGCACACACGTGCACACGCACACACACACACACACGTGCACACGCACACACACACACACACGTGCACACGCACACACACGTGCACACGCACACACACGTGCACACGCACACACACGTGCACACGCACACACACACACAACACACACACACACACACACACACACACACACACACACACACACACACACACACACACACACACACACACACACAGATATATTATAATCACAGTCACAAACACTGTAGATCCCTTCTACAAAACATGTTCCTGTATGCTTACTCTCAACTCAAAAAAGCATTCTTTTCTCAAAAAGAAATTCATGTAGAATCACACACACACACAGCTTTCCCATGAGCAGACATCCTTATGCCAGAAAACATTACTCTACATTCCTTATAGGCGTAAAAACAAACAAACAAATTGTTCATGGGACAAATTTTGTGAGCCTGCCTTCACTACCCTTCCAAATCATATACTCAAACACACACACAAATACCGATACATTTGCCTATACACTTGTTCCTCCCCTTCTCTCTGCCTCTGTCTCTAATGGTTGATGCTGGAGATTGGTACACCCTTTGGAATAAAACATGGGGATTGTCCCTTTTGAACCCATTGGTGTGCTTCAGCGACAGAACTATGTAGCCATTGGAGGTGGCAATTCTCCAACATCAACCTGGAAGATATAAATAAATATATATATTTTTTCTCTCTGGATTCTTATAAAAAGGGTCTTTTGGAATGTTTTCTTAATGAAAATGTTGCTTCTTAGTATTTGTAATGATATATGTTGAGTTAATATATTCTTTTCCTCTTTTTTTTTTTTTTTTTTTTATTAATTTATTTTTTTACTCTAGCATGCTTTGCCCTCACTTGCATCTATCATACCATAAAAATGTAGTGATGTATGAAAGGCCTAATGTAGTTTTTTTCTTTACCTGGTTCAGAGAGTTTAAATACTGCATGGTTATGAATATTCTCTCGTTTCCTGCTCTCTTAGTCTTTGATATGTTATATCTATTTTACTTTCCCTTGTTTTGCAGCTTTTGAGAAATGACTTTTAAATGAAATTTAATATAAATGATCTTGCTTGCACTGCATATATATATTTTTCATTATTCATTTGTTTTTTTATTTCCAACAAAGAGTTCGTTCAGCGGTCACACTTCTAACCCATTTTGACTTTCATGGGGCTGTTCTAACATGGGTGTTACGTATAGTATCAGCGTCAATTCTTACTTAAATCTCTTACATGATATAGTGGTATAAAGTGTGAAAGTCAGTTTGGCCAAAGAAGATGTCATGCTTATTTGTATGATCTGAATTGAATCAGATTTTTTTCCCTTAATTTTCTTGTTGAATAAGGCACTTTTTTTATTGCAAGAGATTTGATGAGGCTGTGTTGCATCTTTTTTCAGGATGATGTTTATGTACAATTCACCATTTTGATTTTCCATTTTTTTTTTAAGTACATCTAGCAACAATTTTTTTTTTTCCTTTTTTGCTTTAAACTGTGATCTCTAAATATATTTTAATATGATCATAGAATCAACTAGTCTATATGTAACCTGCTATATAAGTAGGATGTGAAGGAAGTGATATACGTGTGTAAATGAGGCATGAAAAGGATATATAGTCTTGTCATTCTCATTATCAGTTATTATTATAGTGATAGGCATTGATATTCTTGATATTGTTTTTAGGGTTTATTTTTAAATACTTCAGCTACATTTGATAGAGAGAGAATGGAAATGAATTGGTTTTCCCTTTCACTCCAGTTTCTAAAAACATATTTTCGTCAGAACATGATTTATGGTGCATTTCTTATCGCAAGCCCATAAAGAAAATGAAGAAAAAAAGAGAAAGAGAGATAACTGAGTTCTGCTTTTCTAGGTAAGACTTCATTTTGCAATCAGTTTGTAAAGATCATATGGATATCAGGTGTATGAGTGCCTCGGCTGGCTTAACATTCCGTAATGGCTACAAGACAAGGGCGTGAATGCAGGATGAAGCTGTGTGTACTGTGATTCCGGCTGTACAAAGAGACGTCTTTCGGGATGTACCTTCTTTAATGTTTCTTCTGCCTTTTGTAGAGTTGGCTGCCAACCAGACAAGACACAATGCTTACACCAGCTACATAGATCTTGAAGATATCATTGAGGAGGAAGAGGAAACTTTGGGAGAGCATGGTAAGGACTTTTCTTTTCCTATTTTACCTTCTTTTGAGTTTCATATTTAATGTAATTTTGGTGCTTTGAATACTGAGGATTATAGATGATTTTTATGCACATAAGGATACAATGATAATGGAAAGATATGTTGGCTTTTATTTGGCTCAGTGTTGCAAAACTTGACTGCATCCAGCTTTTTGGCGAGTTTTAAGGCTATACATACTTATATTTATGATAGATTTTTATTGACAAATATTTACATATTAATTTTTTTTTTCATGTGTCAAGCCTTTATGTTATTTATCCTGAGTTTTTATTTTTATGTCAAGAATGTATTGTCCAGAATGCAGTTTTCATTCTTACAGTATTGTGTCCCATTGTAATAAAGTCTGTAGTTGTTAACAAGATGTGTAAAGATATAGCAAATGGGGTTTCTGTTTTTAGAAAATAAGTTATATATTGAATGTGTGTATGTTTATTGAATGAATCAATCCATATATGCATATCTCATACTGATGCCAAGCTACTAAATGTTAAATTTAAATCTGTTCTCTGAAAAAAAAAAGATAAACACTTGATAACAACTAACAGCTATTGCAAGTTGAGAGAATCAAGAAATGAAATGCCCAATATAAGCCATTAGAACCTTTGATAGGATGGCATTCTGTAAATATATCATAATGTATATAATTGGGTATTCATTTTAGCTGAAGAGAACCCCCATTTATGAGAAATATAGAAAGCATATTATAAATATTAGTAATCCGATAGCTAGCTCCAAATGCTAGATTAGACTAGAAAAACGAGTTAGTCATGTCATAGCGGAAATGGTAGTATGACCCTGAAAATCAGTAAGAAAAAAAGAAGTTTTTGACTTAAATCATCATGTCTTGCATATTTATATCTATAAATATATTACACATAGCTGTAAACTTTTTGACTTAATCATCATGTCTTGCATATCTATATCTATAAATATATTACAAATAGCTGTAAATTTCCTAGTGTTTCACTTTTGATTTGACACGATCAGTATTCACCATGAGACAGTGAGATTGGCTGACTTTACTTCCCCTTATCTCAGATAATAGCTTTCAAATGGCTCCCTCTTTTGCTGGCTGTGCACCCACTCCCATTCCCCCTTATATGCTCCCAACACTCCCTCCCCTGTTGTCTCCCCACTCAAAATGGGTTAAGATACGGTGAAGCCTTTACAGTGTATCTCATAAGATTTTGAAATGTACTACTTAAAATCAGCACTGTTGGATTAGTCCTCTTGTCTTTTTGTTTTGAAGTTACAAGAGGAGTTTTTGATATAGGTGTTTGAAGGGAGATATTTCAATACATGATAGTCTTTACAAAAAATGATGAAGCATATGTTTGTGAGCTGTATTTCCAAAACTTGTTTATATTTATATGGCAGGGTACCAGGTCATGTACTCATGTATGCACATGCACACATGCATTCATGTATACACAAGCACACTTTTTCTATCTTTCTTCTCCTCTCCTCTGCTTTTCTCTACTGTTTTCTTCTTTTCTCCTCTCTTCTTTTCTCTTCTCTTCTCTTCCCTTCCCCTCCCTCTTCTTCTCTTCTCTTTTCTTTTTACTCCACTTCTCCTCTCTCCTTTCTTCTATTTTACTCTTCTCCTCTTTTCCTCCTCTCTTCTTCTCTCCTCCCCATTCCTCTCACACCTCTCCTTCCCAATCATCTTTTTTCTTATCTTCTTTTCTTCTCCCAGTTTCTTTCACCTGTTTTTTTTTCCCCTTTCCTCTTTTCTTTTCTCTCACTTCTCTTCTCTCTCTTTTCTATACTCTCCCTCTTCTTTTCTTTCTCAAATAGGTATATGTACACACATATATCTATATATGCCTTGGATACAAAGGAACCTAACAGGTGATAGCAAATGCACATCAGTTCTTTACTAAAGGTCTCATTAATGCATGTTACTCTGATTTCACTAATTTTCCACTTCAAACACTGATGAAAAAATAGTAACCTTTCTGAATAGCAATTGTGGTTCTGCTGGTTGGCTAAACAAACATACAAATCTTATAAGTTAATACTTATATTTGAAGAAAAATGCTTCATATTCTTTTCCTAATAGATTTGGCAAATATGTATGAAAGAACATCAAATATCAAGTTTGAGTCAAAATAATGAATAGAGGGCATGAAGTGTAGCAAGTAAAATGTTCATAGCATCAATTACTGATGTTAAAAAATGTCTAGAGTATTCTGGATAACACAATTTTCTACTGCCATGAATCCTTTTATCACCATGACTGGACACATAGCCATGAGATCAAGAAAATATCTTGTTATCCTTTCTGGTTAAAAATCATGCCAGGCCTTTCCCTAAACCTGAATATAATGAATGTCTACCCCCTCCCTAGGTCCGTGTTGAAGCTATGACTTTTTT